GACCTCTTCTAGCCTCCCCCGCACCTCCCCCCCCCTCCCCTGGGCCTTCACCACACTATTGTCTTTGGGTGACTGTTTCATTCTTATGACTGACCCAGCCTTCCCTGGCCCCTAGATAGAGCTGGCTTTGCTAATCACATCACAAAGTAGTGCTGCGGCTGACACTCTTAGAACCCTGGCTGTTCTGTTTTGTTCTCTGTTGAAATGACCCCAAAGACAGCAATTTGAGGGTGGCCCTGACAGTAGGGTATTCTACAGTTTCCCTGGGAATCAGGAAAGTGTAGGATAGCCATTACCCTGGCCACTGCTATTGGAGGTGAGCAACAGGATTTCAGATACAAAACCAGTGACACATCTGTCCCTCCTTCCAGGCTGTCCACAACCAGCCAAGATCAAACCCTAGGGTAATTCTGCCTAGTCAACAGCTATGTAAACACCCACTTTGCAGGCGTGGTAGAAGGATTCTGGAGATAACATATAAACATGCTATAGTTCATGCTTTGGTACAGAGTCCCTGCTGGTGTAAAACATTTTTATTATTATGCAACTGCTTGTATTTCATTTTAAATGGAGAAAAAAGGGGAATGCTGGACTTTGCTGGGGCCAGTTTCATAATATTCTACCATGGTTATCAGCACATCATGCCAACAATTCCCTGACTTCTCACCAGCCAGGCCTTCTCAGAACAAAAGAAATATTAGGTTGGCAACCTCCCATCAAGTGTGCGTGAGTCACACAGATGCCTAACCAGGAAATTTGGATCACAAAAAAACACACACCACACTTTGAGCTGAATGGTGCAAAACCAGCAAAGGAATCTCCTATTCTCGTTAAGACAAAACTTTGGACACTAAGTCAACTTTTCTCCCTCCCTAAAGAGCCATTTCTTTATACTTCTAGTGTGGCTGTATTTTTAGTGTTAGGTGGTTTTCTTTCAGAGAGAGACAAATTATACCTGAAATAAAAGCCTTTCTGCAGTAGGAAATAACCATATCAAACTCTCTCTTCTCTAAACTGCCTCTTCAGACCCTCAAACATCAATAATATAATTCTAAGAGACTGCTCACCTGAAAAGTATTTTAAAATATTTACAGATCCTAAAAGCTGGGCCAGGTTTATGTACGATTGCTGAAATGGCTTTTTCAGATAACTAGGATGAAAAATGAATGTGGATGAGGCTATGACCCATCCAATCTACGAATTTCAAGATAACTGCCTGAGGGTTACAGTTACTCTGAGATAGCAAATTAAAAATGGCAAGTCAATGAAAAACAGGACCAGCAGCAAAATGTATGCAAGAGTGACACCTGCTGGGAGTCTGAGGAAGAAAACCCTTAGGCTTGCTAGATTCAATCACTGAAATGGATCAATGTATTCTGGCTCCTAAATAAGAAACCCTTTGTTATTGTCACTAAGAAAATGGTAGTAAACAGTGTAGGCATCAAATACACCATTTATTCTGGCTCTCCTTTCCCCAGGTTCCTTCTAACAGCCAAGAGGCTATGCTTTCACTGGACAGCTAAATCAGGTATCCTAGCATTAGCACAAATACCTTTTTCTGGGGTAGGAGCTCTCAATGGCTCTTTTAATAATTAGAATGGCATGTGTAGGTCACTCAGGACTCACACATGCAGGCAATAAAGAAAACCCCTATTTGTATGAAGTTGATCCTTAATACTCTCAGGATCCATCCAACATTTGGAACATATTTCTGCTTTAGCTAAAATGGAATAAAGTTTAGAATTCTGACCAAATGGGCCATTTGCCAACGAATCCAGCTCCTACATCCAGCCAAAAAAAAGGGGGTGGGGGTGGGAATAATGTGTCAAAACCCAATTCTAAGCAGTCAATTCACAGAAAATGCAGGCTGGCTATGGCTGGACATTAGAGGTCCTAGGGGTGGGGGAGATGAAAAAGACTAATTCAGGCCCACAGGTGGCCTGCACCTGGGAACAGAGCAAATATTCAACGAGGTAGCCTCACTTCCTACAGTAGCTGCAATAAACCAGGCTGCCTTGAATGAGTGAACTGATGAAAAACTCCTCTGTAGAAAGACTGGACTCACAGAAGTCGGGGAGGTATGAAGGGCAAAAAAAAAAAAAAAAGTGAATTTATGTTCAACATATTTCCTGCAGGTTTAGTGGGGACTAATCCACCTTCACCCCACCCCGCCCCCCTCACCCTCCAGCAAGTCTCCTTTCTTCAACAAGCCATTTCTGTTCCTGGAAGAGTTAACTGATTTGCTTCTGCTGGAGAGTCAGCAGCACTGGGAACTAGGGTGTCGTCTCCTTCCTTTCCTTCCAAAAAGGCCAGCAGCCTCAGGCAAGCCAAGGTCCTTTCCTCCTGAATGCGCAGTCTCGTGAACTCCACTGTCTTCAGGAACGCAGCAGGTGGTGGCAGCTCTTTGAAGAGCTGGGAAAGGAGGTGGCACTGCTCTGACGCTGTCCTCTGAAGATGACAGAGCCTCTCGGGGCTCAGGGGACGCCAGCTGGACTTGGAGAGGAGATGGTAGAGGTTCTTGTAGAGGTGTTTCACAAAGATCAGGGTCTCAGCCCAAAAGTTGATTTCTGCTTTTTCAAACAGGTAGTCTTCTTCCACCTAAATCAAATGAAAAGCCAGAAGTCAACCTTACAGGGGATGCTTGCAAACCCCAGTCCAGATCAGCGTCCTACCAGGTGCAGAAGAGG